CTAAATGTATCCATCATGTGGACATCACTATTGTAAGTTGATCGTTATTATATAAAATCGCGTTAACTATATCGGTGTTATTGTTAGTACCATCATTGTTATTAACCATCGATTATTATTTTTGTCATTTCTATCTCGTTTGTCGCTAACACTACCACCGCCATCCAATCACGTCTACCATGGCTTGAAAGTAAGGAAAAAGGATTTGAAAGAATTATTTACATCAGTTTTTGAAAGAGCAATCTAACCATGGCTTAAACTAGGATTCTGATACATACAGCCCAGCTTTTGGTTTTCAATTAATATTAGCCAAACACTATGTCCAACCGTATAGCTACAAGAACCAAGGTTTACCGGTTCCTATCCCATAAGGGAAGGTCTCCAAGATATTATATTGGTTTCCAAGCTGCCAGAACTTCTTGGAACATTTCCACCACCAGTTCTCTGTCCGCCTGCCTGAAGAAGTTATCAATTTCATCTCTAATATCATGTATCTTGCCAAAATCAAACAAGTACGTCAAGCATCCTTTCTTCAGCTTGTTTAACTGATAAAGCCAGGCTTCCTGCAACCTCTCAAGGACGTTCTCTGAGTTTATGTCTTCTATGAGGCTCTCCTCACAAGCATCTTTCAGGTCTACAATGTTGTATTTGTTTGCTGCTCCCAGAAGTGCCAGCCGGTGCTTCCAAAAGTCCGCTTGCTTTATAGTTCCATACAAGTAACTGAGGAGGGCCATACAAGATTCCTGTGACATATCCTCAATGTAAATTGTGGATGATTCCTTTTCCTTGAGATCATGGTGGAACATGCTTCGGAAAACAGGTGAACTTGCAGAGAGAACTGCCTTGTGAGCTCTAAGAGTGCCCTCAGCAGTGTGAATGCTAACATCTGCATGGATGCTATCCTCAAGCATGAGAGCAAGGCATCTAAGAGTGCTTTGAGTACAGATAGATTGCACTGAACCATCACTGGGCCATACAGAACCGGCTTCTCCACCCTGAGTTTCAATTGGGAAATTTCCAAAGTATAAGAAACAAAAACGTAGTAAGGGTAAAGCATTTTTCTGAGAAAACAAGGGCAAGAAACTTTATAAGAAGCTAAACTTTCCACTTATGATTGTCACGAATTGAATTATAATCAAATTGCTTTAGGTCGTTTACCAATGACGATTATACAATTCGAACTATTTTGAATTCGCCTCAAAGATAAAATAGATAAATCTTTTAATTCTATTAAGGAGTCATTTTCAATTACTAAGGTTCATTTTTGGTTTAAAAGAAAAGAATGAGGTCTTTCTCTTTGCTTGGTCAATGGAACATTTTAAGGAACTAACATAATTTTCTTTTCCTTTTTGACAGGAAGAAACTGACAAAACCATAGGATAGAGGGGAGGGGGTTCTTAACTGCATGGTTTGATTAATACGGTCCCCCACATACACTTCTTAATTGATGAGGAAATGAATCATAAACAATTGAAGTTGATGGTCAACAGGTTCTCTGTACTGTCAATTATATGAGGTCCAATGAGTTCCACAAACATTGTGGTATTACCTTTGTTTGCTAGTTAATGGTTAATTAGAATAAGAGAGATAGCAAGCAGCAGCAATTAATAATGAGCTATACCTTAAACACACAGAATCTTAGGGCACACCAACTTCAGATTACCTCAAAATGATGAGATAAAAACAACTCACATTGACAGGATACACCTTAAGATCCAGAAACTCAACATCAATAATGATTCGTCCATGGAACAAGGAATCAACAGGCCAAACAAAATCTCCAGATGTACGCAGAAGTCTCTCATGAACTGCATCATGAACTTACAACATTATAGGCATATAGCAGATATATTCATAAAAACAGATACCACCATCTCATTCGGCCACCAAAAAACCGATAATATCATCTAAGAATTCCTAAAATTTAAGCGGCTAAGATCGTGCAATGAATATGAAACACATGTTGTAGCTGAACCTGTTTGTTAAATGCTATAACCAGAGAATGAAATACATAGAAACCTAATTTAATAGTAGGCAATTCATATACTACTACAGCAGCCTGGTTCTTGTCGTTGAAGTTTCTACAGTAAGGATGCATTCCATTAATACAAATGATTAATTAAAATTTGTAGTATGCATATCCTAATAAGAGCAAGAAATGGAAACCAAAAGGGAAAGCACTACGCAGTTCAGTTGCAGTGGAAACTTCATTCAATTTGCAGGTATAAACCACACAATCAATCATTAAAATACAATCAGCAACCTCTGCAAAACAAAACAATGCTAATACCAAAATTTATGATTCATCCAAATGACTATCTTCTGACTTTTTCACATCATAAACCGTGGAATATTCACAAGAAGTTCAAAAAGCCCACTTAACCCACTGATACCATATAATTGAAGGCAAACGTCCTTGTTAGGTACATGCCATTAGTAAGGCATGGGGCCTGCAAATATGGGTTTACTTTTAAACTGCTAAGGCCCTTTTATTTCAGTAATCAGTAGAAGCTTCTACAAACAATGAGCAAAATAGGCTTAATAATCAGCCTTCATATATCCCTCTAACAGGGTTCCATGAATCAATTGTCATTGCTAATGAAACGTAAACTCCATTCTCCTAGTTTGGAATTCCATGAATCAATTTCTCATTTTGAATGAAACACAACCCTTATGTTACATGTTTCCCACAATTACATCTTCTAGTTTTCAGAATTCAAGAGTTATTTCTCACAGGCAGCTATTATTGGTGATTGGTAAACCAATTACAGTCTTCATTTATGACTTCCCATTGCATTCAACAAACTTCCTTTTTCCAAGTAAAAAATATGATCAGGCACTCTCTTTCTTGTACCCCGACGATTTAATCCTCCATACAAAATAGACAAGACTGCTTACTTTAAGATATGATATCCAATCCCAATTTTATTTTGCCCACATATACACCACAAGTAACTTCCTTTTTTTCTTTCCTCAAAGTTGCTTTCCACGTTACACAGAACATTAAACTCCAACAGTATTAAAACAAAAGCTCTTTTAGTTTAACTCCATGATCAAATCAACATCCCAGGGTGATAGTTACGATAAGGGATAGAGATGAAGGGATTACCGGACAAAATTATCGGTTTACGATTGCCGCCAGAACTAGAGACTCGAAGAACAAATCTTGCGATGGGAGGCTGATCTCTGCACAGCTTAGAAGTCTCTGGAAAGAGACGAATGTACATACACCGATTCCTCTCGAGAGACAGGTGCCTGATAAAAAAGCAAAGAAGCCAAAAATCAACATAGAAAGAACAACCAGTATTAACCTCACCAATAACCTATCTCTGTGTCCGCATATCATATATACACAAACATATGCATGTGCATAGTTTTTGAATATAAACGAGTGAGAGAGAGAGAAAGTTACCAGTTCCAAATACCGACCTTGAAAGGGTCGGATTTCCTGTAAGTGCCAGGGCCAAAGTTCTCGATCCTCCATTGAGCAAGTCTTGAGATAGTCTCTACTCGTGAATCCATATTCTATCTTCTTTCCCCGTCAACTGTTGGTTAGGTAGGTCTGCGTCAAACGGCCAAAGGTGAAAGAGAGAAAATGGAGGTTGAGCGAAAAGTAGGGGCTCTTAGCGCATGAATAATTGAGACTAAAAACTTCACGCTTAAGAAATTATTATTTTTTAACGATGTGAAATTATATATTTGTATACAAACTAAAATTATATAATTAAAATGTCTATTATATTTTTTATGAATTATCTTAATACTATATTCAGTTTAATACAAATATTCATGTTAATTATTTTACTTAATTTTAAAATATCATTTTAATAATTTATAATAAATATAAAATTATTAAAAATTAATTAATATCATATATTTATTCTAAATATATTTAATTTAGTAATTTATAAAATACAAAATTTTTTACTTTTTTAACTGTAAAATGCCGGAGAATATAAGTCAGAGGCAGTCGTATTTTACCGCGTTAAAATAATATGATGACATGCCGGAGGGCATTGTCGTAAATGCACCAGAGGCCGAAAGGGGAAGGCCACATCCGTTGCCTCTTCTTGTCGCCCGTGAGTCGAGACATGCTCGATCATTCACCTTCTTCCCCGATCCGATCCCCAAATCTCATTTTGGTTTTTTGCTTCTTTTCAAAAGCACTGCAACCCAGACGAACTACAGGGGTTTATCCAACCCAAGGATTACCTAACGCCGTTCTCTCCGTGGATCTCCTGTCCAAACAAATTGAAAAAAAGCACCATGGCTTCGGGTTTCAGCGGCGATGAAACTGCCCCCTTCTTCGGCTTCCTCGGAGCTGCCGCGGCTCTCGTATTCTCTTGTAAGCTCTCTTTAGTTTCCTCTTTAATTCTAATATGTGCTATTTCCTGAAAATTCTGATTCGTCTTGACGCGAAATTTTGCCGATCGCAATTTGGGGGTTATGTTATTAACGATGGCTAACGCACGATTAGTGCAGTTTTTAATATACGATCCACAATGGAATGAAGCCATTTATTACTTATCAAAAACGATTTTACCGTTTAATTTGTTAGGAGAATGAGAGATGGTTATGCGCTAGTCAGAATATACATATCTGTAGAAAATTTCATTCTAAAGGTTTAACTGGATGCATATTTCAGGTTAAACATGAGGGAACAATTTATAAATGTTATTCGTTAGTTGACAGAAATTGGTTTGTTGAAAACATGATTCAACTAGAACAAGACATGTATGTATGAATACAGCATACAAATAATGGAGGAAATAATATTTCACTGTGGAAATAGCAATGCAAGAAGCATTTTTTTCTTTTGAAACAAATAGTTTGCAGATCCTTTTAGAGTAATTTTGGTGGGTTATATTTCAGGCATGGGTGCCGCCTATGGGACCGCAAAAAGTGGGGTAGGAGTTGCCTCCATGGGAGTCATGCGGCCTGAACTTGTCATGAAGTCTATTGTACCCGTGGTTATGGCTGGAGTTTTGGGAATTTATGGGTTGATCATAGCTGTTATCATCAGTACTGGTATAAACCCAAAAGCAAAATCGTACTATCTCTTTGATGGGTATGCACACCTGTCCTCGGGTCTTGCTTGTGGGCTTGCTGGCCTCTCTGCTGGAATGGCTATTGGAATTGTTGGTGATGCTGGTGTTCGGTAAAATTTTAACATTTACCTTCTCTTTTTTTTTTGCATTCTTGTCTGTTTTAAAATTTTATTTTTGATTGCCAATTGCTAATTTGAGTTTATTACGAGAACTTATATTTGGAAAGCCCCTTTATGTTTATCTTAAGATTTCAGAGTTTTTTGGGTAATTACTATATTCACCCGAGGGAACAGGTTTCCCATTCTTTTTTAGTTGCAGTTGTAATTGTTGCTTTGGCATACTTAACTGAAACTTGAAGTGATTATAGATGAGACTGATAGAAAACTGTATTTTATATAATATTTCTTATGCAGTACATGTACAAAGCAACATTTGTCAATGTGATTATCCTCATATTTTCTTTGCATGTTTCCAATTAACCGGGCATTTCATTGGCTGTTTCCTCTGTCAAGTGGGCTGGTACTAATTTTCTTCATTAGCAATTAGATTTGAATCCAGAGGCACACTTTTTTAAGCTTTAGCTGTTCACTCTATTATAGTCAATATTGCCTTCAACTGAATCTTTTTATGAGAGTTAACAATCTTAATTAGCAGAAGTCAGAATCATTTGCAACGATTCTGATAAATTGGTGAAAATTCCAGTCCATCTTTTGCCTCTTGGAATCATTTACTTGGCTGATACTCTCTGTTACACTGGTGTGCCTGTAAGCTATATTCCGATTGTTGTAACGGAGTATTCTTGATCTGTACACACTTGATGCTGACTGTAATGCGAACAGAATTTAAAGTGAAAGAGAATTATTGCTTTTGAATGATAATCTTCATGCATTTACTTGTGGTTTAGCTTTTGACTTCAACAGATCTGATCTTTATGTCATTCTGAAGTTCCCTTGCGAAAAAGGGTCTAACATTAAGTTGGGTAGAAAAAAACACATTGGCTTCGATGGATTGTATTTTGGTTTTGACTTGTGAAAAATAATCTGCTCTTTCCTTGAAAAGTATATCTTGGTGTCAATCTTGAGCTACATTCTCTTTTTCTTTCTTTTCTTTCAAGTTACATTTTATTCTTCTATGTGGTTGAGCTGAATTTAGATTTAATTTGGATATAATTAATAATACCAACAATTGTTTCTTTTTCTTTCTTTCTCCTCCCTTGGTAATTTTCAGCGCTAATGCTCAACAGCCTAAGCTGTTTGTGGGTATGATTCTCATTCTTATCTTTGCGGAAGCTCTTGCTCTATATGGTCTCATTGTGGGGATCATTCTATCATCCCGAGCTGGCCAATCTCGGGCAGAATGAAGAGAGCTAAAAATTCTTGTTCGTGATATCTTCTATTTGATATACAACTGGCTGGACTTGTATCATTGCTCATCGAGTGTGAGTTATATGGACCATTTTCTTGTTATTATATTTCTCAAGCTCCACCTGCTTGATGGATGAACTCTTGTATGGGGTGGATTTATAGATAGCATTATGAAATCTGTATTATTTTCTTAGCGGAGTTTCCTGTACCCTTCTTGATGTCTTGCGTGATGATGGTGTATTTACTCAAATTATCTTTATGTGCTTACTCAATACAACTGGCTTTAAGTTGTGCAGCCGCTAACATTTACTTAGGATTTTCACAGGGAGAGTGATTGATTAACAAGTGCATCCATTCCTACCTCCTCTTTATCTATGAGATGTTTGGGTTTTTCAAAACTTTTGGATATTTAGAAGAAAAATATTATCTCTACTAAGACGAAGGCATAATTTGACTTGTTTAAATAGCAGCTAAGATGAGGCAGTGTCAGTAACAATGAATAGCTTATGATAAATAGATATTTGCAAGTTTGTCATTACAGGTCATTCGTGTAAAAAATCCGATCGATGACGCATACTTTCTTAGTTGGGGAGGTGTTAATATGTGACTGACTCTTAACAGTTTCTTGAAACCATGGTTTTTAACATGTTATTGATCTGGATGAGAATCAAATGCTCAGCCTCCCTCTATCTTCCATTTAGAAATCTCCCATTTGTTCACTTGAAGCTTTTTCGCGGAACTTGAATAGGGTAAGAAGTGCAGATGGTCTCTGCCAATTTTTCGGTAAGACATTTTGTTCAAGCTTCACCGTGAGCAGTTTGTTGCAATCTTAACGTGAATAGAAAGAAAAAACAATGACGGTGATGATTATGCTGATTCCAAACAATATGTATGGTATTAATACGATTCTAAACAAATAGAACTTCTAATACAAAGTATAAGCCCACTACTTATTCGACCAATTGCTTTAAAATCCTATGTCGATTAGTGTTTTAGAAATCATTAGGTAACAAATGTGCATTAAACTTTATCCCTATAACATTATGGTAAATGAATTTTGACCTATTTCTCAAAAGCATTAATTTTTGGTGCTTTTGTTATACTTAGGTCACAAGTATATAATATAGTTTTCATAATGTTAATAATTGATATTACACGTCTCAAAAAAAAATTTAATTTTAATGTGTGAAAATATTTAGTATAACAAAAAATGGAGAAAATAATAAGAAATAAAAGGCAATATTGTTTATTATTTTTAATTTTAAAATATTACTTTTATATTTGTTAAAAAATACAGTTAATAAATTTCCACTGCCTGGAAAGCAAGAGGCAACGGAGAAAGAGATGGCAGCGACGAGCTCAGCAGAGGCACCGAAGATTGTGTGGAACGAGCGGCAGAAGAGGTTCGAGACGGAAGACAAACAAGCCTACTTACAGTACGTGCCAAGATCGAATGGGAAAGTGATGGACATAGTGCACACCTATGTTCCATCCTCCAAGCGAGGCATGGGCTTGGCTTCTCATCTCTGCATCGCAGCCTTCAATCACGCCAAATCTCGCTCCATCTCCGTCATTCCCACATGCACTTATGTCTCCGTGAGTTCATTATTTCTCTTCTATAGCTAATTCGTGCTTTTTAAGCATTGAGTTTCTTCGTTTTCATCTTCTTTTGTCTTTTTTCCATTGTGTTTCTATATACTCGATCTGTAATGTGATGGCCTTGGTTTAATTTGAACTTGTGTTCTGGTTTTCTTTTCTTTTTTTTAATTTTTTAATTTTACATCTAAGTTTGAGAGGATTGTGGTCTTGTTATCAATGGAAGGAATTTTGTTAGGAACCATAAAATTGGAAACCTGGAAGGAATTTTTTTCTCCTCCTGGCTACGTATGCAAGGAGGAGAAGAGTGTAACCGTTGAAGATTGTAGACTGTCTAGAGACTCTAATTATTCAGGGGAGAAGAAAGGCGATTAAGAGAAAAAAAGAAAAGATTCCGTAACCACTAGATGACGCTGAAGAATGAAAAGAAGTAGAGGAACCATAAAACATCTAATGCAGCTAATGAGTAGAATCCACCATATCTCTAATCCTCAAGTTTCTCTATCTGGAATAATTGGTTACAAAGTTGGATTGTGCATTCAGTAACTTATTTTGTTGCAAAAGCAGGCATTCAACCCCATAATTACTTACTACAATCTACTTTTTCTTTTTCCTGTACCCTCCGAACAATATTCTTACCAACCAATTGCTTGTTGGAACAAACTGCAAACTTGTTTCTTTTCTTCCTCAAAACTGATTATATTTATGTATTTTGATAAAAAAAAAAAAAAAAATTGTATTACAAACAAGGCAACAAGGTGTGCTCTCTGTACAAAAAAATAGCAGGATATAACTATTTACCAATCAAAATTTCTGTTGCGGCCTAAACTATGACCATAGGTCATTAACCCAAAAAAAATCAACCCCTTAAGCCATTGTTTCCCATAAGTTAGGATTATTCTCAATGATGCTCTTAACTGAAAATCAAAAACCTTTCTTATAAGAAGACACAGAAAGGAACATTGCAAACAGAAACTCAGATCCATGTAAACAAATAGACGACCACTAGTGTCTTCTTTTGTCCAAAAGCCTAAGGTATCTTTTGTTCCACCTTCCAAGACAATATCAAAATTTTTCCTCTTAATGACCAGATTTTTCCTATGAGAAGAAAATGACATGATATGAAGAGAAGGAACCACACTCAAAATAGATCAGGCACACAAGCAGAACATTTCTATTCTTGCTTCTTGTAATTTCTGTAAGTCTGTGAATGTCTTGATATCCATATTTGAAGAAGATATCAAAAGATCTCCTCTCCATAGGCTATTACCAATTATCTTCTGCTAGGAAAAAAAAGTTAGAAGATGAGATACTTAGCCAAGGGACACTGGGCAAAAACACAGAACACCACGAGAGAGGAGAGTGATTGAGGACCATCCCATACTTGAATGGAGTTAAGGCTTACTATAGATGCAACATTAGAAGGCAAATATCATTTGTGCCTTTGTTGTACCTTTCTTATTATTTTTCCGCTTCTCTTTGGATGATGAGGTAGCTCCTTAACTACCATATGTTATTTGGACGAGGCAAGATATCCCTTGCTGTTTGGTTGGATAATTTATCATCTTGTTTCCAGTTGATCCTTTTTTGGTGCTACAGTTTCCATGGGTCCAAAAATGGTGGTAACCTGTTTATTGCAGGAAAACTTGTATCACTTTTCACGAGTCCAAGAATAATAACAACTTCTTGTTGGACTAAGTTGTGATACCGTAATCCTACATGACAAAAATATGTTACTATTGAGCTCCATATAAAAGTTCAAGTAGCACACTACTAATAACTTGAACTTAAATTTTTAAGAGGTGGTGGTCTAGGTCCGAAAGATTATTGGATCAATGGTGCTTAGCCCGGGTCATCACGATTTAGTGGTATTAGAGCTGAGGTTTTATGTGTTATAGATGTTTTGAGTTATGACAGTCCGATGAGATTCATAATATAGGAATTTGAGATATGATCATAATATTTGAACATGTATTTTTACTAATTTTGTAAACTTAGATATTAATCTTCTTATTTATTATGCTATTGTTAAGTATAAAGATGACAATTTGATAAGTGGCCCAATGAATGTAAAAGTATTTATAAGATTCTGTCGTGAGGATTTCGGAAACTTGTTTAAGGATGGATGTGTAGAAGTGACATTATTTGATGATAATCATTTGGCGATAGGGAGACATAGTGCTATATTTGGTTGAATGATGAATCATGTAGATTTGCTTATTTGGTGATGATAACAGGAGCCATACATGTTCTTAACGGAGTGTAAAATTTTATTAGAGACATAAGACAAAATAGTTTTATATTTATTTTCTATTGCTTATTTATCATTGAAATTAAAGGATAGTGTATGTGTAATATATGCAAGAATAATTAGTTGAAAAAGGTAATTGAGATGATAAATTATTTGGCAATAATCATAACAAGATATAGATATTTTTAGTGGAGTGCAAATTTTTATTTGGGGATATAGAACGTTGTGGATTATTGTTTAATTATTTATATTTGAAACTAAAAGATACCAAGTTACTCGGGAATTTTGTTGGAAAGGACAAGTTTTGATTAAAGAACTTAAGTATTGTGGTTTATTATTTATTTATTTTTGAAGTTAAAGGATGTACAGAGATATTGCATGCAATATTTGGATGACTTATGAATCGTTCAGATGTTAAAGTCTTTAGTGATAATCATGTGGTGGTATAGATTAAGTGAAAATCTTGATTAGGTGACATAATGTATCCTGAAAGCTAAAAGAGAATAATTACCGTATAACTTTATAGAAGTTGATATTAGGGATCATGTTTTGTTTTTCTACTTACTATGATAAGGTGGACATTTCAAAGAAAATTCCTAATCTTGAAGTAAACTTTTGGTGAAGTTTAACATTTTACTAAATTAATTTAATCTTAAATGATGACAGTGCTGAGTAAAATTGTTAGGAAGTGGGAAAATATTCAATGCGGGTTCCTCTGGGGTGATGATGAAGGCAATAGAAAATTCGATCTTGTGAAATGGGACAATGTAAAGAAACCATTGCATAGAAGTGGTCTTGGGGTGAGGTCAGTTGTTGAGATGAACACTGCTCTTCCAAGGAAAATGACTGTGGAGATTTATTAGAGAGGCAGGGAGACTGTGGAGAAGGGTGGTGGAGGCTACGTGAGGTAATGAGATGGGCAGGGGGAACTTAGAAATGTATACAGACCGCATGGTATGAGCTTGTGGAAAAAAATTAGCATGGGGAGTGAAAATTTTTTGATTGTACAAAATGGAAGGTGGGAAAAGGTGATAGAATTCGTTTTTGGTTGGATGGCTGGGTTGGTGTGGGTAGGTTGAAGGATCAATTTCTGAATATTTATGCCATCGCTACTTCTAGAAATATGGTGATGGTGGAGGCTTATCAGGAGGTGAATGGTAGGAGGGATTGGTCTGTGAATGTTATCAGAAACTTGAATGATTGGGAGGTCGAGGAATATGAAAAACTGTTGCTAATACTTTCACAGGTCCCACTTGAGAATGGTAATGATCAACTGATGTGGAAAATGAATAAAAACAGATTTTTCGGTGAATTTCTACAAGCATTTAACTAGTGGGGATGGCAATGAGGATGTTCTGTTCCCAGCAAAATAGATTTGAAAGACGAAGGCCCCTCCTAGAGTTGTTTTTCTTTGCTTGGGAAGCAAATAAGAATTGCATATTGACAATTGATAAGCTGAAGAGAAGGGGTATTACCATGGTTGATAGATGCTATTTATGTAAAAAAGCAGGAGGAATCTTGTAATCACATCTTTCTTTGGTGCTCTGTGGTTTTTAATATTTGGACCATGGTGAGCCTTTTGGGAATTGATTAGGTATTGTCGGGGTCGATTAGGGATGAGTTGTGTGCTTGGGCGGTCTTATGTGAAAAGAAACGTCATTTACTATTGACTCCTCTTTGTATCTTTTGGGTTGTATAGAATGAGAGAAATGCTAGAGCTTTTGAGGGTATTGAGAGAGAGGTGGATAAGATTAGAGTAGATGGATCCATGTTTTTGGTTCTACACTTTTGAGTCATGACATTAATAGGATGGAAGATTTTGGAAATGTAATTGATCACCTTATTGACTTGTAAATAATTTGTATACGGGTGGTATTCATTTGGTACTATTGTGAATAATACTTTCCTACATTTTTATTTAAAATAAAAAACAAATTGAATGATGACTTCATGAGAAATTGATGAAGCAAATTATGAACCGTTTCAATTTGGATGTCAGTCTAGTTTCATAAAGATTGAATGGAATTTTGTAGCTTGTTGTACTTTGATGAGTTGCCAAATTATTACTCGAACGCTATGTTAATTTAGCATCATCACATC